CCGGCAGCCGGCGGCGGCGGCTCCCGAGGACGGGCTCTCGGACGAGGACGAGGCCGTGGCCAACGACCTGGACATCCACTCCCTGATCCTGGCGGGTGTACCGGCCGAACAAGAGGACCGCCTCAAGACGGCCGACGAGGTCATCAAGGAGATCGACGACATCATGGAGGTGCGTCACCCGCTGTCCGCCCGGCGGGCGTGCAAAGGGAAGGGGAGGGCTGAGACAGACCAGCACGGAAGGAGGCATGGTGTGCGGAATTGGAGGGGAGGTGTGTTGTGCAGACGGGGGGGACATTGCAGTGAAGGCGAGGGAAGCTGGCCCAGCGGCGATGACACAGCGAGGGGGGAGGGGGGAGGGGGAAGTACGGTGAGTGCCGTCTCTCGGCGTGCTGGTGGGGCGGGACTGCGGGTCTGCACCCTCAGCCGTGACGGGTCGATGAACTGTCGAAGCAGCGGCTGCTTGACCGCGGCTGCCAACTGAGCCGGTGTTGAGCCGGCACGGCGGGTCCGCTGGTCCGCTGATCTATTGGCCCATGGGTTCACCAGTCCTCTGTGTTCGCTGGTCCGCTGGTCCGCTGTTCCGCTGTTCGCTGGTCCGCTGGGCCACTGGTCCGCTGATAGATTGGTCCCCTGGTCCTCTGGTTCGCTGGTCTGCTGGTCCGCTGGTCTGCTGGTCCACTGGTCCGCCGATCCAGTGGTCTACTGATCCACTGGTTCACTGTTCCACTATTCCACCGGCCCGCTGGTCCGCCGGTCCGCTGGTCGACAGGCCTGCTGAACCTCTGGTCCGCTGGTCCGCTGGTCCGCCGGTCCGGCGGTCCTCTGGTCCGCTGGTGTCCCGCAGCAGAGGGACGCCGCGGTCACCCGGGCTGTCGTCCATGCCCTTGGGGAAATAAGCCGGATGATGTCTTGTGTTGCTACATGCATAGCGCGCTTTGTGTCGGTGAACACCGCTCTGGACGGCGATTAAGGTTGTGGTTGTTGTGTGTGTCTGTTTTCATCACTTTGGCCTTTGTTCACCGTGTACGATTTTTAACGGATGACGCTTTGACCGCGGTATGTCCGGTGGGTGACAATGTGCTGGCCGGGGATGGCACTGCAAAGGGCTTCACGAATTGTTTTGACTCTGAGGTTAGGAGAACTGCTTCAGTGGCGGACGCTTGGCTGACCCCGACCTGCCGTGCCGACAGGAGGGCGAGTCGGACGACTCGCCCGAGCTCGAGTCACCGGACTCGGCGATCGGCGAGGCACGAGAGCGGCCACCGCTGGCCTCCAGAGAAAGTCAGTCGTTGCCGGGCACCTCCGGCGCCGCTGGGCGATAGCGCGACGTTTATGGCGCTTTGATATTGCCGCGACCGCTTCTTTTTGTGTGCACCGCTCTGCCACTTTGGGTGCACCGCCCGCCAATAGCGCCTGCCGGACGAATTTGCTCATGGCAAATCTGATAACATAATGGGCCCACACGTGGGTGATAAGGTTGCTCGGACCGATTCAGGCCCGGGTTCTGCGGCGGAGTTTCGTGGTGGACTCTGTAGGATCAAGGAGGCAGGGACGTGGGGAAGGGGTGGGGGGAGGGGGTCACGTTTCTTGAGGGCCTAACATTTACCGAAGGTAATGTGTAGAGGCCAACTGTCGTGTCAAGAGTTAGGTCACTCCTGCCTTTTGGCGTGCTTCACGTTCCCCTCGTATGACTGACCCGTGGCCCTTCTGGCACCTACACACCGACTCGCTTGCGTTCCCTCACCGTTTGTCTTAATTTGCGTCATGTCTCTCTGGCGTCTCCCTTACCCTCTTGCCGCCTCTTTCTCCCCGCCGTCCTTGCCCTAGTTTCGTCCCCGCCCTCTCTCCATTCGCCTCATTCTCCTTGCCTTCGCACCCGCCCTTCCCACCCCTTCCCTCGTCACCCTCCACCATCGTCCGTGGCGGTGCCAGGCCGGTCAGCTGACAGCGAGTCCGCCCGCCGCCAGAGCTGGAGGCCATGACGTCGGCCGAACTGAACGAGATGTACCTCGACCTGGAGCTCATGATCAAGGACTACTCGGAGGTGCTCATCAACGAGCTGGCCTTCCGTGACGAGCTCGAGTACGAGAAGGAGCTCAAGGTGAGCGTGGATCTTGCTTGGTGGGCGGGGATCGTGCCTGGTGAGCGGGGATCGTGCCTGGTGAGCGGCGATCGTGTCTGGTGAGCGGGGATCAAGCCTGGTGAGCGGCGATCGTGCCTGGTGGGCGGGGGTCGTGCCTGATCAGCGGCGATCGTGCCTGGTGAGCGGGGATCGTGCCTGGTGAGCTGAGATCACGCCTGCTTAGCGGGGATCGTACCTGGTGGACGGAGATCGTGCCTGGTGAGCGGCGATCATGCCTGGTGAGCTGAGATCATGCCTGCTTAACGGGGATCGTACCTGGTGGACGGAGATCGTGCCTGGTGAGCGGCGATCGTGCCTGGTGAGTGACGATCGTGCCTGGTGAGCGGGGATCATGCCTGGTGAGCGAGGATCGTGCCTGATGAGCGGCGACCATGCCTGGTGAGCGGGGATTGGGCCTGGTGAGCGGCGATCATGCCTGGTGAGCGAGGATCATGCCTGGTGAGCTGAGATCATGCCTGCTTAGCGGGGATCGTGCCTGGTGAGCAGAGGTCGTCAGTTTTCCTTGTGGGCAGCGGCCGGGTTGGACTTGTCGTGGTATAGCCCAGCCGATGACGGCTGTTGCCATGAGAAGCTGAGTTAAGTGTTTGAGAGACTGTCAGGTACCTGCCTCACTGTATCTGCTGGCTGCTCGAGACGCATTGGGCACGTAAACCGGATTGTAATGTTCTTTTGGTCGTTTCAGAATCAGTTCATATCTCTCCTCCTGACAATTCAAAACAAGCGGAGACAGTACAACGTGGAGAAAAAGAAGAAAAACAAGAATGGGGTTACTCTGGATGCTAAAGTACGTGACAGTTTGACATAGAGGACCGCCGCTGGACGTTTTGCTCAGAGTCGGGTGTCTCCAGCCAGTGGTGGGTATTTTGGAGACATCAACGGACATCTCACGCAGTTGATTTAGTGTCTGCTGGTGTTTGGTCTTTACGTCGGCATTTAAATTAGACCACAACCTCCAACAGTAGTGAGATTTGCGATGCGCCTTTAACGATGCGCCGTTTGTCTTACTCCCCTTGCCTATATGTTTTTGTGTTTTGCGTTTTTTTATGTTTTCTACTTTGCCTTTTGGCAAACGAGAGTGTCGTCCTCCAGAGGCGTGTTATGCGTCATGTGTTTTCGAGAAGCGGAGGTTTGTTAAAAATGGGGCATTATTTGACCCTACTGATGTATGTTTCAGTACCTGACCACGGTCATACCGTACAGCGTGGGTACCCGATGCCCCGACAACGCCACGCTTCAGATACTCATCAAAAGTAAGCCTGGCGGCACCACCTGACCCGCTAACTCGTCCGCGTGGGTTAGCCAGTCGCGTGGGTTGGCCTGGCACCTGTGCTGCGTTGCAACAGTTGGGCAGACACCTGTGAACACTGACCGCGCCGGCATCGGCTTTGGCGAGGCGTGTGTCGGCCAGGGACAAAACAAGTCGCCTGACTGACGAGCAAGAGTAATTGTGATGGGATAGCAAGCCTGGCCCGGGCTGGTGTCTCGGGAGGCAGTGTCGGGGGACGCAGCACTGGCAGCGCCAAAGTCCTTTTTCCTTTTTTCCCCTTTTTGAAAGGTTGGAGGACATTATGTGGAGGGCGCCTGGTGTTAGGTATCTGGGGTCGGAGCCAATCCTGTGCTGGATTAGATCCTTTTTTACCTACGTCGTTGTTTAGGACTCCTTGAATTGTCCGGCATTGTTGGTTCAGTTTTCTTAGTCGTTCGAGTAAATGTCCCGAATTTCACCACTTTAAGGCTCAATGTTTCAATGCTTGGGCATTACAGCCACCGCAGGTGGAGTGGACGTCCGCTGGCAGTGCTCCATGCGGCCTTGTTGACATCGTGGGCGATCTCCAAGCCAAGAGTTTTGCTTTTTGAGTCCGCGGATCTGTTTGCATTTTTCTAAATGTACAGGATAGCTCAGTGAGGGATAGAATCATCGTCTCTGTTTTTAATGGATTGAAGATGTATTTGCTCACATGTCTTAGTCTTTTAATTCATATATTTCATCGGCACACTTCACATATTTCCGTTTTGAAAAGCCACCATACACAGCTACTTCCATGTCCCACGCACATCAGCGATATCAATTTTCTTGTCAGCCGGTCTGCTTCGTATTATGGCGCTTGGGTCGGTTCTACGGGCCCGTTCGTGATGTCCGACAAAAAGTCTCCGACGGTCTTTTGTATCACGTCGACCCCGAGGTGTCTGCAACATGTTTCTGCCATTCGTGTGCGATGTGGGACAACTTGCCAAGGTTTTCATCATATGTCTGACTGTTTTTAGCAATCAACCCGAAGAAGTTGTAAGATATGAGCCACCACACCATGAGATGTTTGGTTAATGCGTTGCCCCTTCGCCTATTTTGTTGTGTGCCTGGCGTAGAGGCTGGTACATGACCGCGGCCGGGGCCGGTGGCACCCCGAGGGACAGGAACGGTGGGCAAACAGTCGGTCATGGTCTCCGTCTCCGTCAGTCGGTCATGCGTCTCCGTCCTCAAGGCGGTGGCTGACGACACCTCGGATCGGCGGCTCACCTCCGATAGTCCCGCTAGAGGCCGCGGCTACTTCGATGCCCACCCTGCTGCCGTAGCGCACACCTCCCCCGGGACGTCCGGTCCGCGGTGTGTCTTTAGCGCGTCCCGTGCCGCGTGTGTGTCGGCCCCCGCGCCGGGCCGCCCGTCACCGCGTGCGGCGCTGTTGCAGTCCTGCGGGCCATCGACGACGACAGTCCGACAGTGCCCACCCTGCTGACCGACTACATCCTCAAGGGTAGGTGCCTGGTGGCGGCGCTCGTGCGCCGGCTGCGCGCGGCCGTCGGCGCGCCGGCGCCCGCGCCGGTGCCCGCGCCGGCGCCGGCGCCCAGCGAGGACCCGGTCCCGGCCGCCGTCCCGCCGTCCCGCGCCGGCTGCCAGGGTGTGGTCTGAGCGCGCCGGCGTCCGCTGTCCTGACGCTCGCTCCTGTCCGCCGGCTTCCTGTCAGCCACGAGGTCCTGCTCCGGACGGACCGGGTCCTGCTGTCCTGACTGATGCATCCTGTCAGCCCAGCGGTTCTTATCCGAAGGGACCGGGTCTTGCTGTCCTGGCTGATGCCTCCTGTTTAGCGGCCTCCTGTTGGCCGCCCGGGTCTGCTCCGAACGGACCGGGTCCTGCTGTCCTGGCTGATGCCTCCTGTCCGCCGGCCTCCTGTCACCTGCCCGGGTCTGCTCCGAACTGATCAGCATCAGTTCCCACCGGTCCGTATCCTTCCGCCAGTCGCCGTGGTCTACCGTGAACAGACTGGTCCGTACCCACCCGTCGTCCGCCCTCCGCCGTTGGCTGGCCCTCCTGTCGGTCGTCTGGACGCTCTTCCTCCGGTCCGGCGGGCTCCACGCACCTGCATCAGCGGTGTGTCTCCCCCTCCCCCGTCCCCCGTTCCCCGGCCTCCCTCGCAGTCAGACGAGTCCCACCACCCTCGCGGGTGGAGGCTGCTGAAGCTCCCGGGTATCGTGAGAAACTGTGCTTAGCTGCGGCTTTGTGGAGGAAGGCTATAAAGCGTCGTTCTTGCGTGCTTGTGAGCTGTTTTGTTTGGACATATCTTCTGGTTAGTCGTGCTGGTAACGGCTTGCGATATTAAAACAAGATGATAGATGTGCTTGTATGAAGTATTGTTCAAACACATTTCGAGACTGTGTTTCTTCTGCTCGTGTCACCGCAGAATTCGTCACGCATGATTGGCTTTGTCTCGTCATGCGATGTAGCCTCACTCATCCTGGTCCATCTCCACCGCTCTCTCCGACGTCCTGGGTGATCCCGACGCTCTCGTGATCGCATGTCCGCCGGCCGGCCTGTGTCACGCGCCAGCGCTGGCTGATGGAGATGCGCCGCCGGTCACGCCAGGTCCCACTCTCCTCCGCCGCCGCCGCCGCCTCCGCCTCCCCTTCGCTGCCTCGCTGGGTCAAGGGCCGAGGCCCTGCCGCTGTGTCAGGCCGCGCGGACGCCGTGCTGACGCGCGCGCGCGCTGCGGCCTCCCCGCTGAGCTCCTCCTGTGTCCGCCGGCAGTGCTCTGTCCCACATAGAGCGGACGCCACGGCCCGCGGCGGAATCGGCGCACTGAGACCCGGCCCGATCGACGCGCCATCTATTTTTGTGCGTGTGTGTGCTTGTGTGACGTCACGCCGCACCGGCGCTGACGTCACTGGCGGGAGGGCGAAGAGGGATGCCGCGCGGACAGCGCTTGCTTGGGCCTGTGCAATAGTCAGCTTGTGGCGCTCCGACTCGCTGACGGGTGGTAGTAGTTGCCGATCTGACCACGTGGCGGCGCCACTGGATGGTAGCGTATGCGTCGGCGGACGGCGCCTCACGGCTCTGGCTTTAGCCACGTCACAAACCCAGGCATTTGTCTCTTGCATGCGCGAAATGGCTGAATGCTGTCTCTCTATCGGGAGCTGTGAAATCTCACGATATTCTACTTGTAGCTTATTTATTTGTAGGTGGATAGAACAATTTACGTATAGGACCTTAGAGCTTTGTAAACCGCTGCCCGATCGCCTGTGACGCGAGTGCGTTGCTGTTCGGTTCGTGTTAGCGGTAGATTTAACGGTCCGTTTCGGATAAGATAACGACGACCGGTTCTGCGATTCGGTTTCTGTGATCATTCGTCTGCTGTGTGTCGGCGCCGGGTGTGATACCAAAGAGATTCACCGGGAAGAGCGCCCGGCATACTCGCTTGTGTGGGCGGCGTGGCGCGGCCGTCCGTCGCCGCAGCTCGAGGAAGTGTGCCGCTGCGGGCGTCGGGAGATTTCGGTAGGCTATAGCCGCACAACCGCTCCGCGTCGCCGCCCGGGCCCGAGCGCGCCCGGCGGTCGCTGGGCGCGGGTCCCCACTTAGGTGCGCGCCGCGGGAACGCGCGTCGCGACCTCTCGGGGCGTCCGCCGCGGTCGCGAACGGGTCAGGTCGGCCCGGCCGCCCTCGGCGCACGACAGGTGTCACGCGGCGGCTGTCGCTCTGCAGCCGGACGGCGTGGGGAGGCCCAGGCGGGCTCGGGCCGGCCAGGCGCCCGCGGATCCGCCGCAGCCGCGATGTTTGCCGTCAATCGGACGGCTCGGTGTCGACGGCGTCTCGCGCGCCGCCGGGTCGCCGCTGTCCGTGTGCTGCGTCACACAGGGCAGTCGGTACTCGCCCGTGCTGTCGCCTGTAACACGACCACCGCTGGCAAATACACTCCCCGCTTCAGAGACGCGTGTGGTGGTGTGGGCGACCGGCCACCGTGAGGGGAGCGAGGCGCGCTGCCCCAGCCAGCCGGGAGTCCGCAGCCTGGCCTCCCGCCGGCCGGAGGGGCGGCGCCGTCGTCCTTCCGTCCCGCGCTGACGGGGAATTTGGTGGTGCAGCCGCCGGGCGCAGGGCCTCGGGGTGGCTCAGTCGGCATGTATGTGTACGTGTGTGTGTGTGTGTGTGTGTGTGTGTGTGTGTGTGTGTGTGTGTGTGTGTGTGTGTGTGTACGTGTGTGTGTGCGTGCGTGCGTGCGTGTGCGTGCGTGCGTGCGTGCGTGCGTGCGTGCGTGCGTGTGTGTGTGTGTGTGTGTGTGTGTGTGTGTGTGTGTGCGTGCGTGCGTGCGTGCGTGCGTGTGTGTGTGTGTGTGTGTGTGTGTGTGTGTGTGTACGTGTGTGTGTGCGTGCGTGCGTGCGTGTGCGTGCGTGCGTGCGTGTGTGTGTGTGTGTGTGTGTGTGTGTGTGTGTGTGTGTGTGTGTGCGTGCGTGCGTGTGTGTGTGTGTGTGTGTGTGTGTGTGTGTGTGTGTGTGTGTGTACGTGTGTGTGTGCGTGCGTGCGTGCGTGTGCGTGCGTGCGTGCGTGCGTGCGTGTGTGTGTGTGTGTGTGTGTGTGTGTGTGCGTGCGTGCGTGCGTGCGTGTGTGTGTGTGTGTGTGTGTGTGTGTGTGTGTATGTGTGTGTGTGTGTGTGTAACGAGGAGACGGCGCTCGCCGGCTGACGAGGACATCGACGCTGGCGAGGCATCGGAGCGGTGCGGCGACGGCGACCGGCGCGCCCGCGAGCCTCCTGCACCGCCCTCGCGCTAGAGAGGCACCGCGGTAGCTGAGGGAGGACAAAGCCCGGGCAGGGCATGCTGGAGCGCCGGGGTCGGCGGCGACTCTTCCGCCCGCGCCCGGCCTGCGGTTTAGGCTCCTCTCGGGGAAATCCGTCCGTCTGGCGGGACGCGCCAGCTGTCTGCAGCGCTGGTGCTGGCCGAGACGCCGGAAGGGATTCATTCCGGGTGTACGGGCTGGCCGTCAACCCTGACACACATGAATGAGTGTTACTTTTTATGTAGTTGTTCAGTGCATTAGTGAGGAACATTATTCACATAGATAAGACAGTGGTATTAGCCTTGTTCCTCGGAAAAACCAGGAGAATGCAGATGTGGTTAGGTGGATATTTCGACAATATGCCTTTATCGAAACAATAGTAGAAGTGAAGTGAAGTGAAGAAGGACTTCTGCTGTTGTTTCGATAAGGACATGTTGCCGAAATATCAAACTATGTCTGCATTCTCCTGGTTTTTCCGAGGAATAAAGCTAATGCTGCTGTCTTATCTAGGTGCCACTTTTTCCGTAGTTGATGCGCTTCGGAGCTACTCATCGCGCTGGCTACGGAGTAAGGGATTATAACTGCACTACTGGTTTGTTCGGAGTCGAGGTGGCTTGCCCCGCAGTTGGGGGAGGCATGCAGGGATTCCGGTTTGCTTGTTTGCATTCACCGCCACGGTCTTACCGATCGGTTTTCTCACATGCTGGGAAGCCAAAGTCCCCTCCCCCCCCCCCCCCTCACCCCGTAGTGCAGTATCAGTTTCTCACGGCCACCGACGTACGGGGCCTGTGGGGGTGCTCCTTTGTATCGAGTCCATGATCCAGACCAAACGTCTGTAAATGACGCTCCGTCTCCATGAATATAAGTGTGGTGTTAGCGTACGAGTACGCATCACATGCTTTGTTGTACTGTTCGTCCTAACCGTCTTATCTCGTGAACTGGAAAGACCAGCGGAAGGTGGCGCGCTCGACGTCCAGAAGTCCCATGACAAAACCACAGGAAGCCCCACCGTGCGTCCTTCGCAGCCTCGCGGTACTGTGCCTGAGCGCCGTCCCCGCAAAGCGAAACCACCCCGCTCGAGGCCGGACTGGTACCCGGGCCCTCCGTCGGATGCGATGGCCACGCACGTGCTTCCCCGCGCCCCGGCTCGTCCGACAGAGCAGACACCCGGGCGAGACGGAGCGGACGGCCAGGCGAGACGGAGCAGACACCCGGGCCACGTTCCTTATTGGCAAAGTACCTACTTGAGTTACTACCTATGACGACGCGAGCAACCACGTCATACGTAAGCAATTATTCTCCAAGCCACGGGAGCTGTTGTGACGCACTTACCTCTAACGTCATAGGCTGCAACTTGTAGACAGCTGTTGGCAATGGGGAACGCGGCCCCGGGCGGGACGTCCCGGTAGCACGGTGGCGTCCCAGTAGCACGTCCCCGTAGCACGTCCCAGTAGCACGGTAGCGTCCCGGTAGTACGGAAGCCACAGTAGCGTCCCGGTGTCATCAGCCGGCGGCGGCGCTCGTGCAGCGTGTATCGCGGCGGTCCTTCCGACCGCAGACAGGAAGCGGAGCTGGGACGGTCGCGTGCTGCGCCGGCGACGGCTCCCAGTCGGCGCACGCACAGGCCGCTGGTGACCGGGTCAGCGCCGCTCAGGAGGCTCGCGATGGAGTCGGCACAGACAGACCCGCCGCGCCCTGCCCGCAAGATATCGAGCCCGGTTACGTGTTTGGCGGTTGGTAGTTACGTGACCGTGGCGGTGGTTGTCGTCGTCATTGTCCTTTGTGGTGAGTGAGCGATCAGATTTTTACAAACTCCGCTGTTTGCTATTTTTGGAGTCGCCAAAATGTGTCGTTTTGAGTCTATATGTGGGCTTAACCTGGAAAGTTAGAAACGTTGTTTGATGTCGAGCCTTGCTGAGAATTGAGAGTCTAGGGAGCTGCTAAGGGTCATGAGCGAAAGGCTATTGGGGATCTAAGGCGGACAGGCTGTCTGAAATGTACGAGGAAGCTATCTAGGTCCGTGAACGATGGAGCTGTCTAAATCCATGAACGATGGAGCCATCTAGATCCGTGGACGAGGGGACTGCAGAGAATCGCGGCCAACAGGGCTGCCTGTAATCATGAACGGGAAAGCTGGTACGAAACAGGGACATGTGATGCGTCGAAAACCAAGATCGTGCCAGCTTCACACCGTGTTGACCTGGTGCTGCAGTGTACGCGCTGGGTGAGCGGGCGGAGACGGACCGGCCGGACGCTCGCGACACCGCGGTCCGTATGGCACTGATGGCTCGGGTGCTGCTCGTCCGTCGGGCCCCCTGTCCGGACGGCAGTCCGCGGCTGCGCGGCGGGGGCTGTCGACCAGCAGGTGAGGATGTGCTGTCGGTCGTCGGTCATCTGTGTTGGTCGCTCCTAACCCAGCGCACGAGGTGAAGGCGTTTAGCGATCGTGCCACCCGGTGGGCTTTCCGAGCAGCTATGACGGTACTGGTGAGATATTTGTTGATTGTTTGCAGTGTGAGATAACTGTAGGCAGAGTGTGGGCGGACGATGGCAATGTGCCGGTCTGCGGCCTTGTGGCGTTTTCAAGGTGACCTCGTCTTTGTTTGAGGCGCTTATTCGGGTGATCCTCCAGCGCGTACATTCTGCCCGCGCGTGCATGCCGGACTGTTGACTTAGTGGGCCCGCACTTATGGCTAGTGAGAGACCTGCGTGCGACGGTTCTCTAAGCAAGCGGGCCGTAAGCAAAGGTCGTGACCTGTCCAGGAGCCGCCGTGGCGCAGGCCTTACTCGTAATGTGGCCTATCTACCGCTGTCGTTGCCAGCCGTGTAGCAGTGTCTAATGGATGCTACTTTTTCAGTTTCCCTGACGGCACGCCGGCCACCAGTGCCACTGGCTTTTCTCTTCATCTGATGCATGGCGATCGGGCCGAACATTTTATTTTAAGTGAGGCAACTTCAGCGCCCGTATCAGATGCATACCTCGAACCTGGTAACATCCGTGGACGCCGAAGCCGACGGCGCACCCCCGTCATCAGCAGGACACGGCGCATCCCCGTCATCAGCAGGATATGGCGCATTCACGCCATCAGCAGAACATGGCGCATTCCCGTCATCAGCAGAACATGGCGCATTCCCGTCATCAGCAGGACATGGCGCATTCCCGTCATCAGCAGGATATGGCGCATCCCCGTCATCAGCAGAACATGGCGCATTCACGCCATCAGCAGAACATGGCGTATTCCCGTCATCAGCAGGACATGGCGCACCACCGTCATCAGCAGGACGAGGCGCTTTACCACCATCAGCGGGATATGGCGCATCCCCGTCATTAGCAGGACATGGCGCACCCCCGTCATCAGCAGGACATGAGCATCAACAAAACGCTGCGCTGTACCGCCCTAGCTGGGTTGGGTTGCACTCGGCGTCTGCTTACGCCCGCCAGCCGTGCGCGAAACTGCAACCCGTGGTACACACGCTGCAGACAATGTCAAGGGTGATCTCACATGCGAAGCCGGTGTGTTTATCACCAGTCTGTGGTTGCTATGTTGTCGGTACGTCATCGTATGTTTCTCGTGAAATATGTCTGAAATTTGTCAGTTAATTGTGTTTTGTTTCATCTTAACCCGTGTAAATACACGTTATTCACGCAAGCTGTGGGTGCCCTCTGTCCTCGAGTTTCAGCAAGTCTCCTGTGGCGTAATGAATGAACAGGTCGCATCTTTTCGCTTGAGTCAACGCTTTTCGGAGCTGTTGTTTTTACACCGTGTTTCGGCCCAGTACAACACTGCCGTCCACAGGCAAAAGGACCTGAGTGCCATTGGTCGGAAATGGAGTGAGTTATACCGATCGATGCAATCTGGGGAATCGGTATCACCAGATGCAATGTTGCATCCTTACGATGTAAGTAAAAAATTCGGAACAAGCTCCGTTCAATATAGTCCAGTTTCTTTTCGAAATCGCTAAGCGTGTTTAATTCTCCGAAATCCCCAAAATGCTTCTGAACAATTTGGCTGATCCTTTTTGCTTTTTTTGACGGCTTTTTGCATCTGCACGGCAGACCACCTTCCTCCGCTCTTGTCCTGTCGCTCATGTCGCTCTTGTCTCTCCTGTCGCTCCTGTCCTATCGCTCCTGTCACTTCTGTTCTGTCGCCCCTGTCGCCCCTGTCCTGTCGCCCCTGTCCTATTGCTACCTATCGCTTGTGTCCTGCCGTCCCTGTTCTGTCGCCCCTGTCCTGTCACCCGTGTTCTGTCGCTCCTGTCAACCGTGTTCTGTCGCTTTTGTCACCCGTGTTCTGTCGCTCCTGTCACCCGTGTTCTGTCGTCCCTGTCGCCCCTGTCCTGTCACCCTTGTTCTGTCGCCCCTGTCCTGTCGCCCCTGTCCTGTCGCCCCTGTCCTATCACTACCAATCGCTTGTGTCCCGCCGTCCCCGTTCTGTCGTTCCTGTCGCCCCTGTCCTGTCACCCGTGTTCTGTCGCTCCTGTCACCCGTGTTCTGTCGTTCCTGCCGCCCCTGTCCTGTCATCCGTGTTCTGTCGCTTCTGTCGTCCCTGTCCTGTCACCCGTGTTCTGTCGCTCCTGTCACACCTGCCGCAGTGTTTAGATTCCTACGGTTAGTCTTGTCACACGCCGTTTGTCTCCTGCGTATTCTTGTTTTGATGACGTGCTTTGCGCGCTGCTTATTTTGCTCAATATCGCATCTAACTGGGTGCTGTAGCTGTCGGCATCATGCGACAAACATTACATGAGCACATCATGCTATATCATGACTGGCGCTGTCACTAGATTTCTAGTATGAAACACATTTTATTTGGAATGAGAGTGACTTTTGCAATATCCGATTTGTGCAATTTTGCGATATTAAACGTAATATAGCAATGTTAAACGCCGTCTTCAAGATGTGTCGTCCCCTTCTGATATGCTTCATTTTTAACGGCGTTTGCAGCCATTAGAGGCGGCGTTTCGTAACGGGCTGGGCTTTCCTTAAAGTCGTTTTTACAAAACCTGTCAAAAGGCGAGCCACGATAGCATTCAGCGATGACTGCATGTCGCGTACCTTTAGACATGCTAGGGAGAACCGCTGGCTATTTAAAGCGAGCGCGTCGTCATTGGTTCTTAGGATATGCCAGCCGATGCTTGACTGAGTTACATGTTCTACCATGGCATAACGCGTTCTATGACCTGTTCTATTGCATCAAGAGTGGTTGTGCTTGGGGGACTCGTGGTACACGTGTACTGCCATAGGCGGATCCAGGAAGAATGGGGAAGGAGCTCAGTTCTTGGTTGTCTACACGAGCAGGGGTGTAGTTTCGTATTCAGCTGGGCGGGGACTGAAGCCCACTCCCCAACTTGGTCTCAGCCCCCCCCCCCCCCCTCCACATTGGCGAGAAAGTGTACCAAATGCAAGGCCAGGGCAGGGCCACCGGTTAGTTGGTACACTTTTGTGGTGTGTTGGACCATTTTCACTTTTTAGTTCCCTAACTTATTTTTAGAAACTACGCCCTTGCAAACGAGCTATGCCAAACGTCCTATGTAAACAAGGTATTCTTACGAATACAGATTATCGAAATGTTTCAATAACTCAGTTCGAGAGTACCCACATCAAGCGCCAGCAAAGTTTCACTGGCGGCGCGCAGGAATGACACGTGCATTAGTGTTTGCATCAGCCGTCGAGTGATACGGTTATGTTGATATCAGCCGCCGAGTGATACGGTTATGTTGATATCAGCCGCCGAGTGATACGGTTATGTTGATATCAGCCGCCGAGTGATACGGTTATGTTGATATCAGCCGCCGAGTGATACGGTTATGTTGATATCAGCCGCCGAGTGATACGGTTATGTTGATATCAGCCGCCGAGTGATACGGTTATGTAAATATCAGCCGCCGAGTGATATGGTTATGTTGATATCAGCCGGCGAGTGATAAGGTTATGTTGATATCAGCCGCCGAGTGATACGGTTGTGCTGATATCAGCCGCCGAGTGATACGGTTATGTTGATGTCAGCCGCCGAGTGATACGGCTATGTTGATATCAGCCGCCAAGTGACACGGTTATGTGTGATATCAGCCGCCCGAGTGATAAGGTTATGTTGATATCAGCCGCCAAGTGATGCGGTTATGTTGATATCAGCCGCCGAGTGATACGGTTATGGTATTCTTCTCCGGTCACATGTTCACGTGACAGCACCATGATGCCTGAGAAGCCTTCTTGACTTAGGCGAACCCAAATCCGTCACGCGGTCTGAAGTTGACCTTTGAAGCTGACCAACCTGGAATTTGACCTTGTTTGACCTTATTTGACCTGAAGTCCATGGCCTAGGAACCTTAAAATTTGACCAAAGTGAGTTCACGTACAGGTCAACACACCCTGAAACTTTGGTGTCTCTAGCTTTCTTACTTCTCGAGATCTCGGGGGGGTCAAATTGACCCCCTCCCCCACCCGAGCAAAGGGTATCTAGCCGGCCACCTGGGCGCGTGTTAATTAAGAAACACAAAAATCATGCACAGGCAGGTTTGGGAGGGAACTGAGGTGCTGGAGGAATGCGCCTTTCTGACCAGAAAGAGGCACCGAATGCACTTTTCTATGGTGGCCATAAGTGGCGCCACGTATTTTTGGTTGTGAGGGACGGGGCTAATTATGAACGACTTAGGTCAATCCCGTATTTCGGAGCCTTTCAGTTTAATCCCTCAAGCCTTTGGATATGCTATAGCCCTAGCTGTCTTAAGTTCACTGCATCGTTTACCCGTTCAACTGTGCAATCTTTATCAGGCGGTGAGAGCAAACACGACTTTTTGTCACGTAGCGCTGCTCTCTGCGACAAACACATATGTTTCTTTTTATGAGGCGGCAAACGACAGACTGCATTAACGGATTCAGTTGTGGGATTTGGCAGCCCAGCCATTGGGCCGAATTACACAACCCACTCCAACCTCCTTTTTTGTCTTGGTATGTAGTTCACAGCCGTCCTCGCCCGCGTGAAAAGGGCTGCTTGATTAAAGTACCATTTTTGCGTAACAGGCAGGCGGCGCGAAAGCTTCGGTCTGGAATTGGTGTTGCACCCCGTTTTGCGATTCAGATACTGCATGGCATCAACGATTGTAATCAACAACATGATATAATCGACAATGCTCAACAAGTCTCAAATGTGTTCGACCGGTCACAATGAACAATTCCCATGAATCAATACGTACAAGGGACTGCGGTTAAGAATGGCTTCAATAAAATACATGAAAGTGCGGTGTAAAACAAACTGAGGATGACTTTGTGGTAGCTGTGGTGTAGAATATGCACGCGCTATTAATAGGGCCATCAAATACATACTTGTTGAATCGTGCGCGTAGCGCGCCTGAGTGAGCGTAATATTCCTTTTAAGGATGTGGCACTATGTAAGCCATTTCAATTTCTTGCGGGCTACTTCTCATCAGCATAGCAAAGTAATATAGCCAAAGAACCCAATACGACTTCAATGCATAACATTATGTATCATTTAATGATATTATTCACAGCTGCACACGTCGCTACACTTCCCCTTGCACTCTGAAAGTTTTATATAATTCTGGATTGTTCAAATCCATAAAATGGTAAAAGACCGCAGCTAAATATTTTCATACACATTGGCCACAAGATTCCATTTGACGCTTAAACATTTCCGTAATATTTCTGCGAAAATCGTTAGGGATGTGAAAACCATTATTAATGTTTTAATGAGTGATGTAACTTATCATTTTCCAGCCCGGCAATTTATCCCAACTCAGCTGTACGTGACTGCTTTCTAAGTCACAAGCGGTATATTTTGGCAAAAACAGTCAGTGGGGGGCTAGTTTACAGAGATCCCCTTTCTACCAACCCGTTGGCCGCCATGCATAAAATGCCCGCAAAAAGAACGCAAATTGCCGCGCAGACATACCAATCATCGTGGCGGCCTTGTCGGCATCGACGCATGCAGATTTCCCAAAATATTACACCACCATCATCAGGTGCGTCGACACCGTCGGATGCTGCTGCTCAGCATCATCAGGTGCGTCGACACCGTCGGATGATGATGATCAGCATCATCAGGTGCGTCGACACCGTCGGATGCTGCTGCTCAGCATCATCAAGTGCGTCGACACCGTCGGATGCTGCTGCTCAGCATCATCAGGTGCGTCGGCACCGTCGGATGATGATGATCAGCACCATCAGGAGCGTCGACACCGTCGGATGCTGCTGCCCAGCATCATCAGGTGCGTCGACACCGTCGGATGCTGCCGCTCAGCATCATCAGGTGCGTCGACACCGTCGGATGCTGCTGCCCAGCATCATCAGGTGCGTCGACACCGTCGGATGCTGCCGCTCAGCACCATCAGGAGCGTCGACACCGTCGGATGCTGCCGCTCAGCATCATCAGGTGCGTCGACACCGTCGGATGCTGCTGCTCAGCATCATCAGGTGCGTCGACACCGTCGGATGCTGCCGCTCAGCATCATCAGGTGCGTCCGCGCCGGACCCGCGGCCGGTGCCGACCCTGAAGTCCCCCGCAGTCGACCCTGGAGCCCTCCGGCTCCGGGTCGGGCCGGCGTCAGTCGGTGGCGGGCTGCGGCCGGCGACGGACGCCACGTGCACGATGTCCGTGCGCCACGTGCTGATGGCGGCAGCGGTGCCC